CACAGGTTGTCAACGTTAGGAGTGGAGGGGGAGGACTCTCTACATTCCCTTGTGTTAAGATCAAACAGGCCGCTTATTTGGAGCTAAATTTATTCGAGCGCTATTTTAGCCACGTCTGTTGGTTTGTCTCGGCAGTTTATTCCATTCATTTTTCTTGAATATGAGTCATTGGCAAGGAAGCAAAAATTCTATAATACGCATTGAATTGGGCTGCATAAGTTGATAAATTGTGACTTCATCTATCCCTTTTCTTCTTAAGTCCCGCTGGGGTGCCATGAAGCCGTAACATCTTAATCTGTCCACTCCATATTTTCATTATACAACATTAAGATATTTGAACAAGTTTACTTAAATCATCCAAATACACTCGAACCTCCATATGCGACCACCTCCCAGAAAGATCGAATAAATTGGCCGCCAGTGGCGTGTACTACTAAAATTTCAAACCTCCACCACTTCCAGGGGCCACTTCATTGCATGCACAAACCGGGGTAACAGCCAAATACATATATCATCTGTAGTTTGGCTTAGGTCTTTGTTCCGAAAACAACGGCATGAGCTTATCGACAATAATGAAACAAACAAAATAGGAACTAGTTAAATAGCCGGGGGGGGGTATTCCCATATAATGTGCCGCCAAGAGATTATAATAGCTCCTAGATAGGGTCTGGTTTTTCCCTTTGGTTTTTTTTTAATGGGCTGTGTCACTGCTGTGTCTGGTCTAGGCCTCGGAAAGGGTATCATGTCATCCTTTAATATGGCCTTCCCACCTACCCCTCCCCTAAGCGAACATTTTGCCCTAAGTGAGAAGTAAGGTTTAATGTTGGCTTAGGGGAGGGGTAGAACCCGTGTGCAGCACAAACCCCTATCCGAAATTTATGGGAGTACCCCCCGGAAGAAAACGTCAATCAATTCAGCAACAGGATTAACAGCCGCTACTAAGGAAAAAATTTACTTACTAGATCTTATTAGCGTCATCTCAGGATGTTCGTTGTTGTTTTCCTCGTCATCTGTTCTTTGCAGTTTGCTCGTGCAGGTGGCGAGATTAAAAAATCTAGTCAACCTCCCTTGGTGATAGTCTCTTTAGATGGAATGGATTGGAGAATACTGAAAAATCACCGATTTACTCCAAACCTAGTTACCACGCAAAGGAAACATGCTAGTTTAATTGTCACAATTAAACCACTACGGTAGTGTTGTTAGTTTCCTGTGTGTAAATGACATCACAACAAGCTTTATTGGTTTAGTGATATGATATCTCTCGCCTTAAGCTTTTCTGATTCGCTAGTTTCATTTCCTTAGACAAGGCCTATTTTTACGTAGAAAACGCATGGTCTCTTTACTTTAGCTTTAGTTAGATTTCGTCGTCTTCATGTTTACATTGTTGTAGTCTATTTGGATAGTTCATTTCTTGGTACTTAGAGGCAAGCGGGAACCAATATGTAAGTACATTTTATCTTCCGTAGTTTTCTCTATCTGGCGACTCATAGAGTATATTTCTTTTGTCCTATTACGCGTTTTTGGCAAAGTTTTTTTAAACCGGAACAGCTACGAAAATGAAAATATGATTGGAATGTCGTAAAATGTTATGTTATCTGTTAGCCAAACTATAATAATTGTAAGCGTACTTTAGCTTTTAGTAATTATTTGTTACGTTGCGTTATATTTCAGTTTACGGTTCGATTATCGTCAATAAAATCACCATCAAGGACTAGCTCCTAGTTTCGTGGTCATAGTTGATTCATGATCGACCAGTAAAATATACCCGCTCACACGGAGTTTCGCCGCCACATTGGCCTCTCCTACAGTCGCAGCGTATCATCCGTAACACTGTGCATGCCTCACGTTCATATGTTCTACATGTGCGAGGCGTTCATTTCATCCTCTTCAAAGTCCCCTCATTTCTTAAACTCATTGTAATGTCAACGTTAATACTTGTAGCTCAATAGCTTAAACTGTAAGTAACGGTAAGTTTTTAAGGGAAATCTTTCTTCGTGTAGTGTTCACGTCCTTCATAAAACGTCGGTGTATTAGATGTTACTAAAACGAGGAACGGAGAACGGGAAAATGAAAAACCTGGGATCAAAATCTAATCAGTAACTTCATTACACATTCTCTGTATTGTTCCTATTTTTCCGCCGCCCGGTTAGCTCAGTTGGGAGAGCACCGGTGAGGTCGCTGGCTCAAACCACGGCGAGAGTAACAACCAGGGTCTTTAAAAAACTCGTGTCCCAGTTCAGATGACCGTGTCATTGGGCGGTGACTTTAAGCCGTTGGCCTTGTCTCCTTCATTCTTCTTTCATTAATCAAATCGAAGGGGACGTAAAAGAACTCACTCTTCTGTTTGGAAAGAGTAGGGGAATTTTCCCCGGTGGTGTGGTCTACCTTTCACGCATGAGAGGACACAGAGGATTTTTACTGGAAGTACAGTACCCTGGAGAGTTATGAGCTTTGTTAGCACTTAATCTCATTTAATATTTCAAGCTCCTCTAAAGTGCTAACATTTCTGTGTCATGGCGAGACTTTTCAATGCATTAAGTTTCAGCATACATTGCAAGATAATCTTCATTTCGCGCCAGAATTTCACGGTTTTGTTTGCGCGTTTTTAAAGTACCTGAAATCACTCGGTTCCTCACAATACAGGCCTGCGTTGTTTCTCGAATACATTGCCTTGGCGAGGACCTGGCCTTTTACTTCTTTTGCCCCCTCGTCTTTTCTTTTTCTCGGGAATTGTTTATATTTGTTCGTAGTGAGAATATAGATCAGAATGCGCATGGTGGATGTTATTTTCGCAACAACTAATACATGCCGCCCAATAACAAGGAAGGGTGCTGGATTTTTCTCATTCTTAGAGAATGAAAGGTAAAAAAAACGGCTACTCTGAGGTAAGAATTGAAAGTTTTAATTAGTTTCTCAGCGAAAACACTCGTAAAGAAATTTATATCGCTAGCTTGTGCTCAGTAATACCTTAAACCACGCAATGACTCCATAAATTCGATTCGTTTTTTCGTCGATCGGCAACATTCGATAACGTTCTCTTCGCTTTGTAAAGTGCATGTGATTTATTTCTAAAACCCTTTAAGGACGGTGCCTTGTTCAGTGGTTCATTTGCTTGGCCTGGACGATTCCCGTTGTGCATGAGCTGCCACGCATAACAAATGCTCTGGAGCTGAATAGCACATTCAAAAGAGGGTCTGGATGGGGTTAGAGCGATTTTCGTATGACCTTGAAAAATGGTTTCGGTAAGTGTTCATTATTTGTTTTATCAGCCAATGGATGAAAAGATCAAAACATGGCCTCTTAGTTTTCCCTCCAAAGAAAACCCTAATATGGACTAGGCATTGTTCGATTGGCCAATCGTGTTGCAGTATGACGTCAAAGCGAAGTATGGGTTGGTTTCTAGAAAGTTCTCGGGCATGAAGTTTTTTCACCCGAGTGTTCGCTTAACCAACCAAAAGCCACCCGCGTTTGTATGTGTTCGATAAACCAATCAAATTGCTCCATTTCTGTTCGTTTGTTGTGTCTGTATTGTTCGCGCGTTTTCATTTTAAGGTCATACGAAAATCGCTCTAACTGACAACTGACAAATAGCCAAAATTTTAACTGACAAATGACAAATGGCCGAAAATTTAACTGACTACTGACATTTGCCTTAGGTTTTACTAACAATTGACAAAGGACCTGATTGACCCTTATTTTCTACAAAACCCGGCATTGTTCCATTTTTTGTCATCAGATGTGCGTTTTTAGGGGTAACCTTAGCAACAAGACGCTTATAATTAAGTGTCATATTTCGTTAATGATTTTACTGCAGTAAAACCCATGTGTGTCATGTACCATCTGTTGTAAATGACCCATGATCTCAAATTTACGCTCCTCTGAATGGCTCCTCAGACTGAGGGCGTTACAAAGACAACTGCAAGTTTTTACTGAGATGACTGAGAGACGGTTTTTCCTGGTCTTCTTACGATCTACATCCTAATATTATACCTGCCAACTTTTTCTGAGTCAAATGCGTGAGATGACTGAGATTTCCGGAAACGTTCCGGCGACTTCCGAAGATTTCCGACGAATTTCCGAAGACTTCCAAACGTTGCCAAAAATTAAATGTCCGCAGACTGTTCCCAAAGACGTTTGAGCACTTCTGAAACTACTTAAAAGACGACAATTTTAGTGTGCTTTGATGATTTCGTTAGAACACAAAAAAGGACTCAAAGTCATCATGTGTTAAGAACAATTTGTCTGGATTTGTGAGTCAGGCGTCATAAATTGTCCTTGATGCGTGAGATCGATGTCTTAAGTCCACAGGCGTGATTAGACTCACGCATAATGCGTATACAATATTCTGATGGTATAAATTTTGATTGGCCTAAAGGTTGGCAATGTTGGACTCTGGCCAGCAACCACGTTCGAGTGGAGGAGAGTAACACAAGACTTAAGAAAAGGAAGGGCCACTCGAAATGCTTACGAGTTCAAGTTCATTTATTAACACTTATTAAATTACAATACAAAAACAATAAGAAAAAAAAGAAGTAAAAACAGAGCTAACTATACATTGAATTTTAACATAACAAAGGAAAAGAGTGTGTAGCAGCCAAAGGAGCCAAGCTTTCGAGTCGGCTACTACCACAGAGCGGTTACAACAAGTGGGTGGAGGTTATACAGTACTTACAAAAAACTATTTAAATTAAATAATTAAATAAATAGAGCTAAATAACAAATTAGAGTTGTTCAAGATGCCTGACTGTCAAGTAGAAAGAGTTCATATTCCTTTTTAAAACTGTTCGAGGGGAGACACTTAATTTTCATAGTAAAACTGATAATTTTCATGGTAAGACTGATAAAAATTAAGGTACTATTGCATCAGTGTTCGAATTTAATGTTTAATTTCGTGCCTTTTCAGCCAAATTTCGAATCAAAAATATACAAATAAGTTTCATAGTTAATCATTAATAACCATTTAACTGACAACTGACAGAAAGCCTAAAATTTAACTGACAACTGACAACTGGCGGAAATTTTAACAGATAACTGACATTTGTACCCCCTCCCCCCCATACAGACCCCCTAGTTTAAAACTAACTTCCTTTCGAACTGGCGGACGGCGCCTCCCATACAGTTCGATATAACATATCCTACTCCTCTTCCTTGTTTAAAACTAACTTCGTTTTCGAACTGGCCGACGGCGCGTCCCATACAGTTCGATGTTACATACTCTACTCATGTTGTTGGTTCAAAACAAAACTAACTTCTTTCAACTTTCGAACTGGCGGACAGCTCGTCAGGAATTAATGTATCAATACACTCGTGCGATTTCATCATGCCGGGTTTTCATTGAAGAATTAAATAGGTTAGCGCAATAGAGTCCTTCCCCTCGCTTCACGCTTGGTTTTTATTTTGCATATTTATATTTGCTCATCTCGCACGTGCGACTGAGGGGAAGGTATGTTAGGAATGCTAGTACAATGTACTAAGGGCCTCTTCATATGAGCCCGGTTTCCGAGATCTCGCCTCACCTCTAAATCCTTCGTAAAATTTTCGATGTGTTCATATGAGAGGGCGGGCTGGCTCGGTTCCCGAGATCTCGGTTTTTCCAACCGAGATCTCGGTAAGCGGGCTGGAAATTTTGCCATATGAACACTTCAGCCCGGTTACCGGGATGAACGGCGGGATGAATTCTGGCGCTCCGGATGGCATCGTCTTGCATTGCCTGCTGTATTTTCCACATCATAAGCATACCATTTAACTGCAGTGATACAGCTTTAAGAGTTACCTGTGCTAAGATAGGCCCAAAAGTTAAAATTTTTGTGTTTCGCTATGTTTGCTTTGTTTCCTAAATTTGGCGCCAGAACTCGTACCCAGGATCTTTGACCTTTTCTCATCTCGGAAACCGGGCTGAAATTTCTCATATGAACCCAAAGCAAAATTCATCCCGGTAACCGAGCCAGCCCGGTCAACCGGGCTCATATGAAGAGGCCCTAAGGATTCCTTTGCGGTACTTACAGTCGATGCCCCGTGCGTCCTGTCATGCATCACGCATCACGTATCATTCATATCATGGGTTATGGGTGGGTTACAGTAAGCTTACATGCCGCCGACGTCCGAGCTTACTGTTTACATGTAAAGAGGGCGCGTCTTGTTGTCGCCTGTTACACGACATTACATTTTTCATTCTTCGTGCTCGTTCCCCGTTCCACGAAGGGGGCGTTTGATTGAACGTGCTCCGGAATGGGAGAACAGGGAATAAACTCTAGAAGCCAAGGAACCGGAGTCATGACCTTTACACATTTATGCCAATTTATATTGCACTCAATACACTTAGGAATTTGATCAAGTTTATTCAGTGACTACAAATATTAATAGAGTTGTCAGTTGTCATCCCCAGAATGTTTCTTATCGTTCTCGCTAGTTTTTGCTTTCAGTTTACTTATGCAGGTGCGGAAATTAAACCCGGTGAACCTCCTTTGGTGATAGTCTCCTTAGATGGAATGGATTGGCGTGTTCTCAAAAATCACCGATTTACTCCAAACCTTGACTTCATCGCACAAACCGGGGTAACTGCCGACTACATCAAGAACGTCGTACCCTCTAGCACTTGGCCAAATCACCACAGTATTCTAACAGGTGTTTATTCCGAAAACCACGGTATCGTGGCGAACAGGTTCTGGGATCCCGTCTACGAAGAAATGTTCATCTTCCTCTTCGACTGCTCAAACTTTGATCCCAAGTTCTACAACAACTCGGAACCAATATGGCTGACACTCCAGAAACAAGGGGGGCGAAGCGCGTCATATTTTTGGCCTGCAACAACGAGCTACGCTGAAAAGCCTACTTACCACGCAAAGGAAACCTGCTTGTTAGATTGCAGTGCCATCAATTCCAAGGATCTCCCAAAATATAGAAATCGGACTCTGCCTGGATTTCCACCTTACGTACACTGTGTCTTTGACCTAAGAGGTCCATGGGCTGACCGCGTGAATAACGTAACGCATTGGCTTCTCTCTGATGCACCGCCTCATTTTGTCGCTTTGTACTTTGAAGAACCCGATACCACGGGGCACGAACACGGGCCTTTCTCCCAACAGTACCTGGATGCAGTGGAAAACGCGGATAAAAATGCCGTGGGGTTTTTACTGAAGCGACTGAATGAATCTCATCTTCTGGAAAAGGTAGGAGTCTTTCAGAGAGTGCCATCTAGTATCCTAGTGGCGTATATGGCCTATAGATTCGAATTAATTCTACAAGAAACATGATTAAAAGCATACAAGCTAACAAGTAAGAACGCGCTTACAGCGGCATTCAGATCTCGCCTCGCGAAATGAGGAGGCGATTTTCTCGCTTTACTTCCTACTTTATCGACGTCGATACTTTTATTTGTCTCTAAATTGGTTTAGTACGCGTGTTAGCGACGAAAAACGCGTTGCAGATTATGAGTCTCGCTGCTTACGCAAGCGAGACTAATAAGGTCGGATCGTCAATATGCGAAACATTTTTTTATATACATAGCCACACTTTGTGGTCTCACGCACAGAATAAAATCTGGAATCTAAGAACAGATTTGGCCAAGTTTCAGTCACCGAGCGTTTTACTAATTGCCATTCACTGAGAAACACCTGCAGCTTTTAACTAGACTTTCAGTTCGACTAAACTGAGCAAGCTTTGCTACTGACACGTGCAATGCACGAAGCATGTCGACGACAGCAATAGGGACCTTAAGATCCGACGACGGCGACGGCAACGGGAACGCTACAATAGCAATAGGTTTAATTAGCAAAACAACAATTTTGCACGTGCATCACGCTTTTTGTACATTTCTTTGCCGTCATTGTACGACTACGACGTGAAAATGCCTAATGTCACGATGTACAGAGGAAGTACACAAGCGACGACGAGATTTCCTCTCTCTTTCTGAACTTGGATATGGTTCTTAGGAATTCAACTTTAGGAGAGTTCGCCTACATTTGACAAAGTTAGTGACTTGGAGTAGTCGCGATAAAGATTGAAAGAACGCGAATTCACTTTTTCCGCGACGTTTTCACTGCCGTCGCCGTCCTCGGATCTTAAGGTCCCTAATATTTGAAGAGGAAACGCCCTCAGACGCCCTGACGCCCTCAGCTTGCATAATAGGCACTTTAAGATCCAACGACGCGGACGACAACTAGAACGTCAAAAAAACAAAAGGTTTAAAAAGCAAAAAAACAACTTTGCACGTGCATCAGACTTTTTTTTTGTACATTTCTTTCCCGTTTTTCCCAGACTACGACGTGAAAATGCCTAATTTCGCGTTTTATAGAGGACGTAAACAAGCAACGACGAAATTTTATTTCTCTTTCCGAGCTTGAATATGGTCTCTCGAAATTCAGCTTCGGGAGGGTTCGCCTACATTTGACAAAGCAAGTGGTTAGGAATAATCGCTATAGAGACTAAAAGGGCAGACTGAAAGAACGGAAATTCACTTTTTAAGCGACGTTCTTCTCGCCGTCGCGTCGTTGGATCTTAAAGTCCCTAATAGAGGGCGTTTTTTGGTGCTACGGAAACCATTGATGGTTCGCTTTTGTTTTTTAATGTGTTCAGTTCCTTTTCAATCTTTTGTAAAACGTCGTTTGGTGATTGCACCGTAAGGCAAGATTCACACTGTACGGTACCGGTCGAAAATTCGTACGTTTAGATGTTCCATTCACACGGAACCAGACTGACCGTACGGAAATTTAAACGTTTAAATCGAGGTCAAATTTTTGACCTGTACGGTCGTCGTAGCTTGAGAAAACAGCCGACATTTGGGCATGCTACCACTGGTTTCCCGCCCAAAGACATCTGAGAAACGAGCGCAGAAATTCCATACTGATGACGCATCACTACCCAGATCTGGGCAGTGCTTCCTGATTGGTCGTGCACGCCGCGTGGGAAATTTGAATTCGACCAACCATCGTACATTCGTACATTCGATTAACCTGACATGAGCCAAGCGAGGCGAACGTGGCATTTCACCCGAAGCGCGAGAAGAGGGGAGGATCGAAACGCCGAAATGCCGCGTTCGCCTCGCTTGGCTCATGAAGAGCCTATTATGCAAGCTAACTTGAGATCAGGGTTGGTGACGTGGTGTGGGATTTTTTAACCACTGAAAAATACAAGGCGCACTTTTGCTAAGACCAAGCAATTTTATAATTTCTTTTTTTTACAGTTTACAGTTGTAACTTCCTTTTGCAGGTGAATTTGATAATTGTCAGTGATCACGGAATGGACAGCACTTCATCAAGCCGACAGGTGTATTTGGATGATTACATTGACTCGAGCAGTTACTTCTTGACTGAGTGGGGTCCCCTAGTTCACATATGGCCACACCCTGGAATGAAAGAAGCCATCTATCAAAACCTGACGAAGAACCCCATACCGTACATCCGCAGAGTTTTTCTAAAAGAAGACATTCCCCCGGAATATCATTGGAAAAACAACCGACGAATCCCTCCGATTTTTATTGATCCCGAAGTTGGTTGGTTCGTAACTCGGTCTAGAAACGATAGTCCTCCTAACCTAGGGCAACATGGATGGCCCCCTGTGGAATCGAAGAGCTACTCGGTTTTCTATGCTCGTGGCCCCTCTTTTCGGGAGGGCGCGGTTGTGGAGCCTTTCAAAACGGTCGATCTCTATCCCTTAATGTGCAAATTGCTTGGGATAGATCCTCGTCCCAATAACGGCTCCCTCGAAAACGTCGAAGCTGTTTTAAAAGATCCAAGCTTATCTGGAAAAGTTCAGTTTGTTCCATTACCAAAGCTTGATTTGATAAGTTTGTTGTTTGCAATTGTTTTCACATTGGCTTAAAAATCTCACTAAACAGTACAGTTGCCTATAGACGCTTTACATGAGCGGTATAATAGACTGCAAAACAGTCCGTATTTTTGCGTATTCGAGTACGCGCGAGCAGTGAAACAAAAGGTCTGGAACGAGACTTAAAACAGAGAGCGAGACTGCTCGCCTCACACGCCCTACGGGCGTGTGAGGCTCGCGCGCGAAGCGCGCGTAAGACTCTTACGCCACGCTTTACAGATTCTTTACTGATTTTGAGAAAAAAACCGACTGTTTTGCAGTCTAGCGGTATAATCACTCTCGTTCTTGTATTTTTTGGAAGAGCCTATCTTCCGTAAGCAAAAAGTAATGGGGTACAGTTAAACCCTATGAAACGACCACATCCCGGCTGTAACGAACATCCCTATATAACATGTTTGAGACAGGACTCCTGTATCCCCGTCACAGGAATGATTTTCAGTCATTCCCGCGGCACTTCGTTATATCGGGTTTCAGTTTACGTTAGGAGCGGAATATGGGGGCCCTATATTTCCTTGTGTTTAGTTCATTATATATGCTTTGTCCTAGCAACTTTTTTCCCTTCATTTCTCTTCAATTACGGTGTCATTGGCGAAGTAACAGAAATAAAATAATTGTTTTGAACAGTTTTTTGGGGTTGACATGTACATAACGGGGTCTCCAAGCAAAATGCTTTGCAAGATTTTTACCAGCTCCAGTTATTCGTTCTTTCTCTGATGAAAATAATTGCTTTTCATTTGGCCTCTTAATCCTTGCTTACAATTAACTCCATTTTAGGCAATCCACGGCGAGATGCTGTTTTTAAACTGAAAAAAATCAAGTAAACTTTCAAATGCAGAAAAGAGCAAAAAATAAAAAAAAATGTAGTTGCTTTCTTTGTTAACGACTAGTTATTTACAGCATGTCATTGCATTGATAAGTTTTAGTGACCTCTGCATAATTATAATTTACTCATTCAGTGTGAATTTAATTGTAACCCTTTCTCCTTTTTTCATGTGTTTAGCCTTGTTTCTAAACGAAAAGTGCGCCCCTGAAAAAAATCGGTTAGATTATTTGCTGTGATTACTTCCCCGTATTGTAAATTGATTTATGTTTATCTCCAAGAAGAATTGTTTTTTCCTCTCAAGGTTATTAACAGTCTTGCAGAATCAACAAAGGCTTTGAGTGACTCATCCTTTTCATCAAAACATTTTTTAATTCGCCTGCGATTCAAAATTCAAAATGAAATTCAGGTTATAGTTTCTTCGATAAACAAACATAGTCAGCATGGATTATCTCTCAGCCACTAATGTCAGCGCGTAGCCCCGGTCGCCTCTGGATATACAAAAAAACATGACATCAATTAATATTTCTCTAGCTTAATATCTCGGCAGCAGATACGAAAATTTATTATCCCGAGCAGCTGTTATGAGAAATTGACTGTCGTGACTTCATTTGTACTGTCAATCCTGTTAGCGATAAGCCCTTGTCGCTCCTCTGTGCCGGAGACTTATTGTCACTAAAGTCACAGTTTGAGGCAATTGAAATGCATACAAGCTGACGGGAAAAAAGTGTACTCTTTGTTCATTCAATATTGCAATTTAAAAAGACTGTCAGTTGCGGCTTGTCTCGCAAATGGCAAGAAATTCCCAGGTAAGCAGTTTACTTTCATGTCCTTTGAATTCCAAAAAAGGGTCTTTGGATTTCGTCAAGTTCGTTTCCTACCTTCTACTGCAAGACAGCTAAATAGCATTAATTCAATGCGCTTTAGGAAAGGTTACGGGACCGATTTAACATTTCAGTTTCCTGTTGGAAACGCGAGGATTTCTTTTCCGCGGGATTTAGGCATCTTTTTCTTTTATATTCCTCCAGATGGCACTCGGTAGTCATGTTTGCTAAGACTCCTTAAGTCGGCTCACTACTATAAAAAGCCGGGCGTTAACCTTTTTAATTTCAACTGGAACACTTTTGACATGTTCATCCACAAATGAAAAACTTAGAATCGCCTTTTACTTACGCAATACACCACACTTTCTTTGGGTCTACCGGCGTGATAACCCACGCGGGATGTTGGGAGAACACGACGCTTTTCGAGTGTTCTCCCAACATCCCAAGTGGGTTATCACGCCGGTAAACCCATAGAAAGTGCGGTCCACCGCTCTTATAAAATAACTTTAAGTAAAACGCAAAATGTTTCAGTTTTCTATGAGTTTACCGGCACAATAAACCATAGGTTTTTAACCAATCAGAACTCGCGTACTATCTTAGTTATTTCATAAAGCATAATAAACAGCATCTGACATGGAAGACTCAATATTAAAAATTCAAAAAAGTGCAAACTGAACAGTTTAGACTTTAAGTGATCCATGGAAAAAAAGTGTAAAAAAACACCTCGTAAAGTATATAGATATCACCGTTGTTGTCGTTTAAATAAGAAAAATTCCCCTCTGTCTAAATATGATCATAAAATTACTCGGTTGTCAGCGGGTCAAGTCAAGACCGTTAATAGATATACTGAAGAGTTCAGAGATACGATACATCATTTAGGTGATTTCTCAAGTTTTCACGTTTATTTTCTTGCAAACTTAACTTGGAAGTGGCTAGCGATAATTGGTAAACGAGGGAGTTGAAATAAATTAACGTGGCTCCAGATGTTTTAAACAGTTGAAAGGAACTGAAAACAACCTTGTTTACTTCAAAAATGAAGCTTGTATTCTACATACAAAAGTTAAACAAAAGAATTAATAAAGAAGTTGGCAATACGCATTTGCAATTAATTCATTTACTTTACCAACTCTGTTCTCGTTAACTCCAGAATTATCTTATAACATGAAAGCTCTACTAAAGTTCTATTTGACGAATTTCTCTGAATGCTACGCTTGTTAGTATGCGAGCAAATTATAAGGTGTAAGAATTATTTTCATCGAAGCTTTCCGAAAATTCAAATATCTTGATATATTGATTTAATTACAACGTTAAATATACTTAGCACCGAAGAGACACTTGAAAGGCGCCGCCTAAAAAAAACATAAGGGCTAAGCAATTTGCTCGTTTTAATTTTTCCTTGAATATTATTATTCAAGGGATTTATATTAAGGCCTGGGTCAAAAGTGTGTTGTGAAAAATTTGCTTGATTTGCAAAATCTCTCGCTAGGATTTCTAACACAGGAAGAAATTTTCCCCAAAAGGTAATGTAAATCGTGAGGTTGTGTCACGTGATCAAAAGTTTAGAATGAAAAAAAAAATCGGCGAATTGGTGGATAATTTGTTTTTTTATTATCTGATACGAGATTATCATTTCCTACTTTGTGCGTTGGGGGGATATAATAGTTACGTTTAGTAGCAAGGCTAGTCCGTTGAGACTCATTTTTCTACTCTACTTTTTAGAGACTTTTTCCTTTAACTTTAATGTTGTGTGGCGTGTGCGTTCCCCCAAATTCACTTAAGTTAATTAAAACTTAAGATATTTGCATCTTTTATTCCATTTTGCTAGAATCAAACAATCCACAGTAATCAGTACAACAGTCCATTCGACAACTACAACGAAACCAACACTACTAGGTCCGCAATGCATGCAGACTCCGCTCTTCCAGAAACGCACCTGTCTGTTTTCGTATGTTTGGCTTTGTTGGGGGTTGCCATCGTGTTTGCAAACGCTGTTGTCATATTCCTCTACAGAAGGAAAGAATATCTTAAAACTAAAACAAACCTATGCCTTGCGTGTTTGGCAATGTCCGACTTTTTGGCGGGAAGTGTCGCGGTTCCCTTGGTGATAGTATGCAATAAGGCAGATGCTGGCATTTTCAAGATAAAGATATGTATAGTTATGGACCTGTCGTCCAGATTTATTTCCATTTCGACAGTGCTGCACTTACTGTTAGTTACTATAGAGAGGTATTTCATGATAATCCACGCTATGCATTATCCATTTATTGTGACAAAATCCCGGTTGATCTTCGTCCTCGTTTTTGTGTGGTGTTTTTCGCTTGGAGCATCGCTCATCCAGCTCACTTGGATTTCCCTCAATGGACAAGATACCGACGAAGTTTACCGAAAAGATACCATCTACAGTCTGTCGATCTTCTTCGGAGTGGTATTATCAAGTCTTTTGATCATGGCAGTAGCGTTAACACGTATTTTTCGTGTTCTACGAAGGCAGCTTCAAAGCATAAAGAGAGCGCATACTTACAAAAGTAGAGCCTATCGAAAAATGCCTATTCCGTTGGAGGGCAAGGCAGTTATTGTCTTTGGATCGATGATCTTAACTTTTATCGCCTGCTGGTTTTCCTATTATTTTGACGGGCTGATGCGGGATTTAAATCTCCCAAGTCTTTATGTACCAGGCTGGGTAAGTGTGATGCTCATGTTCTTGAGGTTTGCCTCCTCTGTGGTAAACCCCATCCTATATACTTTCTTCAAAGAGGATTTCAGAAGAGCTCTGCTCTCCTCGTTTGGTAGTTATCAACGCCGCTCAACACGCCTGACAACCGCTAATACCACACCAGTTTAAAAACGCTTACGTGTATCTTGTACTATTCAAATAATTGATCATGTAAAGCGTTCGGCCGCTTACCGAAAGACAGAGAGATAGACCGATAATTTTGAAATGAAGCAAGGTTTCTTTCGAGGATTTTTAGCCCTGCAAAGATGGCCGTCTTTTCTCGCCGCTCGGGACGTCCTCCGCGAAAAGTCTCTTGCGGCGAGCAGCGTGGAGACACTGCTTATTCTCAGGCTAGAAGATTTTCATCAAAATAACTGCCTTACACATAGCCTGAGAAAACAGCCGAAATTTCGCGACGCCATCATCAGGAAACCAGTGGTGGCGTCATGGTGGCTTTTTTCTGAGGCTACCTTACACATTACTTAGGAATATACTCCTGACAATTCCTACTAGTCGTAAGCTTCCTGAGTCTTTATCCGTTACAAACGCGTTTCGTTGGCTATATAACCTTTATTTTCATTTTAAGAGGGTGACACCAGTTACTATGAAAAGTATTCTCTCTAGTGGCTCTCTCGGACAGGAAGAAGAAACGTAGTTTTATTGAATAACTGAGGTGATAGACTTCACTCATATATGTTAAGACATTTATTAGTTGACCTTTTCAAATAACATGTGATTGTGAAAAGTATACAAAATTGCCCTTTTCCTAAAAGAACTAGTCCGCGTTTAAATTGTACAAGTTTAAAAAAACTCGTTTAACTTCTTAAGTTTACATTTTTATTATCGTTTTTAATTAAAGATATTAATGACTTTTGAGCTATCATAATATTAAGTTATTGAATAACAAAAGCTACTCCTGTGCAAGTTAAAGTGTGTCCGACTGATGTTATTCCGCAAATAAAAAGTAGTTACAAAAATTGTCCATCAGGACTTTGGAACCTTCAGAAAGCTTCATACATCTGAATATGGATGTCAGATACAGCAGCACTTGTCACAGAACAAATTTAAGGTGATATTACGCGAGACGATTCGCATCGACAATTTTTAGCGCAACACAGCGTTGCAACATTGTTGCGACATTGTTTCGAATGGCTTCAACATTTTTCCAACATTGCAACGCTGTGTTGCGCTAAAAATCGTCGTTGTGAATCGTCCCGTGTAACATCACCTTAATATACCTTAAATGCACCTTATTATTCCCCGCATATGGGACTTTCGGCCGCGTAGGGCTGCACCCCGTAACAAAAATTGAATCTGCTATTTATTTTACTTACATTTACCGACATGAACGCTCTTCGTAGGTGAATGGCTGTAACATAAATAACTTTGAAATCCCACATATTTTTCTCAGCTTGCACTTGTGTTTAGTGCGCACGAAGACGTTTTCTTTCATTTTGAGTTTTCATTTGTTGGTGACGCATGATCGCCCGGGTGAGCTTAGTCCTGAATAGGACTGTTGTTGACAGTGACCGACGTTTCGACAACCTGTGCGGTAGTCATCTTCACAGTCAAAGTGAGTTGTATCACGTCAGTTGATGGTATTTTATTTTTTGTTGCTGTTTTATAGAATATCTTGTTACTGGTGTTGGTGTTTGTGTTGTCATTGTTGTTGTATAAATGTCAAATGGTGTGGGGTACTACTCCGTGCTTTCTTAAATTTATGTTTAGTTTTTTCTCTACGATTTTCTTTATCTTCAAAAATTTCAGCGGCGCTTGGTCCCACCAAAGCCTGTTAAACAAAACAAAAAACACGGGTTCGTCAGCATTCTACAGAGAAAAACGATACTGAGCATGTTCTGCGAGGCCTAGCGAGATCGAAGTCTTTTCAACATTTTATGCCATTTGTAAATGACTGAGGGGACTGAGGACAGAAGCTGGGATGTATTTACCTGAGGCGGTCCGGGTACTCGGAGGACTAGGGCTTCTCCTGTGTGTACCACTTGAGGACCAGCCAGAGGTCCAGCTGTTATTGGAGCCAAACCAGCTTGATCCGCCAAAGCCATACCCAGGCCTCGGCTGGTGGTATCTCGGTCCATAGTAACCGTGACCATTGTAGTACTGGTTTCGATGCCTTAAAGAGTGAAAACAATAACAAAATTTTAAAACTCAGTGTATTTAACTGTTGCTTAGTTGCTTAGCCCGCTTCTGCAAAGCCGCGAGATTAAGCACTGCCTGGGAGGTAAGTTTCTTGTTGGCATTTTGGGATGAAGTGGAAAATCTATTCTTACCCTGAACTTCCAAACAAATATCCAAGCAGTCCACCAGTAGCAGCTCCTTAAATAAAAAGACATTATGTAATTTAAGTTACATTACGTAAATTTTTGTCACAGTAACATTTGTTGGCCAAATTTTCGGGAAAAAATGATTGGACAAAAACAGCGTTGAACAGTTAATCGTGGGGATTCCCTCGACCCACTTATGGTGCTGTACACTGCTGGCTTTCGTCCGAATTTTGCCGAAGCACTCTAGAGATTTCGGATGATTTTCGAAGTTGCTGGGTTGATGATCTTCAAAAAGTCTGACGCATCTCAACGGTAAGGTTCTCCAATACTTTCTGGCCTTTTGTAAACAAAAATAGTCTAAAGCTACCATGCAGATCTGTAGAAATCGACACACTACCGACGATAATTTCTCCAAAATTTTAGCGCCCTGAGTCTAAGTTAAACTTCAATTTACCTGACCAAAATCCCCCTCCAGTCCCTGCACCTGTCGGAGTTGCATATGTTGTTGTGTGTTCACTTCCTGAAAAAACATTTATACAGCACATAAAATTATAACTCCAGTGTAGTAGGAAAAAGTTGATTCATAAATCTGTTAACATTATAATTTGTAACAAAAGAGGTATCCATCAGGATAGAACAATTTGATGCTTTTTCCCACCTGGCTTTTGCGGTTTTGACGCCCTTTTACTCACAAAATTTGATATTTGACACTAATTCTTGCTTACAGCCGTCACAAGCACCGTCTTTCGGAAGAAAATTAGTCTGGGCGAACTGCTATTGGGCGAACTGCTATTGGGCGAACCGACCTTCGGGCGAAACGACCTGATACCAGCGTAAGCAACCACGACGGCGAGAACGGCGAAAACGTCACTTAAAACATCTAAATTCACGCTGTTTCAAACTTCATCGCTCTTATTTCAGCTCATTCAATTTTTCAAAAATTAATCGTTGGCGAGTTGTGTTTTGGAGTTAAATTCGGAAGAACGGTATCTAAGTTTCGAAGAAAAAGAAAGTTGTTATTTTGTGGTTTCGTCCTCCATAGAAACGTGAGATCAGGAAGTTTCAAGTCGTGTCGTGAAACGTCACGGCAAGGAAATGTACAAAAAAGCGCTATGTACGCACTTTTTAACGTCGCTGGCGTGCTTGCACAAGCGCCCTAATGGTTAACACTCTGTGAGGCAGGCACCTGTCCAAGATGGACACCCAGTGCTGGTCCCGGCAGTTCTTCTATAATAAAGCTCACTAAGACACACATCTATCAGTCTTTAAGAGAAATGACTTAACCATAGTTAGGCTACTAACTATGACTTAACATAGCCCATACCTGGCATAGTATACTCAGGCCTAAATCCTGGTGGAGGGGGACTGGTTGACTGGGAGTAACCTCCAGGGCTTTGAGTACTGAGAACAACAAGTTAAGGAGGAACTACACGAGGTATTAGCTAGTATTGTTCAAGGTTCCCTGGGAAGCTGCAAAGAAAAGTGAAAACCACTGTATGGCTGCCACTAAAGAGCTGGCTACTCACACACATTGCTGCAATGCATGACTGAGACCTGCTTTTAATCTAATCTGTTGCTGCCTTCATAAGTTTTCTCTCCCTCTACTTGGAACTGTCTGGACAACAATGTTTGCCATTGGTGGGTTAAACTTAACTGAAACGATCTATTGAAACGTTACGAAGTGCACGCGAGACTGATGCAAACACTCTTGCTCCAACCCAGTGCTTTGCCTAGAAAATGGTTAAAATGTGTGTGATCATGTTACAAGTGGTAGAAGGTTCAAACATGCGTGATCAGATTGCATTCTATGCATTTCACTCATTCTTAGTGGAGGTCCTGCACATGTGTAACAGCAAGCTGGAGATTACAATTAAGACCAACCCTTTGTTACTCATGCCAGCAACAATAAAATTAAAATTATTGGGAAAAAAGTTAATATTTTACAGTTGTTTTGAGGCGTAAAAGGATACTGTCCTGCAGTATTGCCTGTCCAGTGCTGATAAATGTAATATGCAATCAAAGCAATAATGGCCCACATAATGATGGTACCAATCCAGCTTCCTGAATGTCTGCAAAATAAGATCTGCAATATAATACCCTCATATGCTTGTTAAATTCATCCTTCCCGCCGGTGATTGACAAACCCTCTCACCCCCAGAGTCCTCTTTGTGTCACAGGGAGGCTGGGGGAGAGGAATATAGGAAAGCACATGGGGGATGTTAGGCAGAGAGGAAGTGAGTCGAGGCACCCACCTTTTCTCTCTCCCCACTGTCCCCTGCATGCTTATTTCTATTTTCACTGGGATACCCAGCGGGAGGCTCTGAGGAGGAGAGAGTGACTAACCTCTCAATACACTCTTATTCGTTAACTGGACACCTTAATAAAAAATATAAGGGAGATGGCGAGGTCTGTATTACTTCCTACACTGGCAAGTGTGTTAGGCACTTATATACACAATCATAAAAAAATACGATTTACCTTCTTGAGTGGTAATTATGGTTGTAACCATGGTGACCATGGTCCCTGTGACCTGAATAATGGTAGTTATGACCTCCGTCAACAACATCAATTGTGTACTCCAGCTACAAAGGAAGTGTTGATCTTATATTATTAAAGGTTTTTTTTGGTGATTTAATAAATGTGTGTGAAGTGGGGTACTTTGACTGTCATCTGTCAACTAGTATATTATTAGAAAAATTTTGAGACCTACCCCACAAGAGCCTTTCAGGACATATGGATCATCTGGATAATTGTATCCTTCACAATTGACAGCAATGTCACCAAATCTATAGCGGCTGTCCATATCTGCTTTACACTCCCACTGTGGAAATAAATCACTGAGTTCAGAAACTTTGAGAAAAATTTGAAAATTGGTGGGCTGGTTCAAACTAAGCTCCCCACCTACCCCTCCCCTAACTCAATGTTATAACTAACTTCTCACTGAGGGCAAAATGTTGGCTTATGGAGGGTAGGTGAACCTTCCTGAATTTTATGCTGATCCAGCGAGTCAAATGCAAGTGCAAGCTCATAGATCAAGTGCAAGAGAAGTTCACATGTCCAGTGCAAATGCAACCACAGTGAGATAAATGCATGCACAATTACATATCCTGCATCCCAAAATGCTGGATTTCATTACCTCACGTTAATGCATGGTGCTGGTTTGCATGTGTGAAAAATAATACAAGAAAAAAATGATTGTACCTGCACATCATAGCCATCAGATCCTCTGTTATAGCACTGAACAACTCTTGGAGTGAAACCTGAACAGCCTGCTGTCCCACCGACACACTGTAACTGAGGGACAGGGTGAGTACGACGGGAATTTGTCATTTTACCTTGCTGTAATGTGATGACATTGACATCTGTCAATTTTATCTTGTCACTGCTGCCCCAACCTAGAGCTAAAAAAATTATCATAACCTCATTGTAGTCCTGATCAAGCTGTAACCCTCTTTCTTCTATTATGAATGAGAGGGTCTTGTAATGTGTTAAACTTTTGAGTCATAAGCCATGTCCACACTTCACTGGACAGCTTTTTCGCCAGCACAAAAATCATACCAGATAGGGCTTCTGTTCACATACAAGGACGGTGAGATTGGCGCGATTTCTGTGACGGAGAGAAGCTGTGCTGCGCTAATCTATAAAGTGGAGAGTCACATATCCGATAGGTGTTCATACCTATACTGAATAGCTTATCATAGCGGCATAAAGAGCCATCTGGTACAGTGTGCCCCTACCCCTTCCTTAAGGTTACATTAACACTTACTTCTCCTCTAGGGCAAAATGTTAGCTTAGGGGAGGAGTAGGTGGGCAGTTTCCCTAAAACCTAAATTGATCGCCAGTCATATGAAGCGCCTTCAGCAATACTTTCATAAGGTACTATTTGTTTTACAGCATTTTTGGAAATTTTGGTGAATTTGACTTGGCCACTTTTAAAACTGAATGAAGGGTTAACATTTGGACAAAAGAAAATCAGGCAGCAGATTTTGAGGGAAAAGGTACTTACATGTATGAGCACCTGGAAGTTAAAACTTAAATCTACAGCTGTTTTGTTTGTTTGTTAGCTTCCGCATTCGTAGAAATAAGCTTCAAACTAAAGATTTACATGTATTTAAGGCATCCATTCTCAGTAACAGACTTAAATACAAAAATATAGAGACTCTTTACGCACCTGCAGTAATCAGATGACTTCCAAATAGAAAAATTATCCACAATCGAACAAAACTCCTCGACACCGCCATTTTCCAAAATCGAAAACGAAATATAAGTTACTAGGTCAAGCCAAACTTTTCGCTAGGACGTTTCCGTACAATCCCAGGTAAATTTGAAACAAGAAGACACCAATTAACTATACTAGATTTAAATAAACGTCACGTTTTTTAAACAGAGATACGTTTCAATACAAGATTGGTCGGCTGACTTATTATTCCATTCGTCCTGCTAGTTGCATCAGGTAACACA